TGGGGAGAAGAGTCCCCCTTCATCCTAGAATCATGCAACAATTAAGGAATAAAGTTGTAACACTGCTGCTTGGTGTTACTTTACTTTAGACACTTTAAGCTTTGGTTTACTTTAGTTTTAGCTTTAGACCCGAACTTTTGCAACGCTGATCCCTGTGCCGCTGGGGGGAGTGAAATAACAGGCCAACAGGATTGTACGCAGGCCATGTGTAAGGTGTTATTTTATGGTGCAAACTGCCTTTATCTTTTAGATGTAGTGGGGTGATATTTTTCGATGCAGTCTGTTTGTGTTTCATTCCTTAGCTGTAAACACTGAAAGACTTATCCCCCGTCCGCTCTCTTCTCGCCCTTCCGCCGCCCCCTCCTCCTGGATCCGCCTCTAAGACCTGTTTTCTTTTCATATTGCACACTTAGTATATATTAGTATCGATAAGATGCCTTATAAATTGCCTGGGAATGGGAATGTTCGAGATGAAGTTCTGTCCAGAGATTCGCTGAGCTGGTAATCCTTCAGGGAGATAAAAATAAATGTCAGATCGCCAGACTGTTGACCACTTAGTAATGTAGTATTGGTCAAAGCATTTGGCAAAAATGACAGTTACATAGTTTGAGAAACAAACTGCGAGAACTGCGGCTGATCCATGTGTTCAGTTTAATTTCTGTGCTCAAGTTTTGTGTAGAAACTGGAAATCAAACACTGAACAGAAATTAATATGAAGCATTTAATTCTACATTTCCGTTCACTTCCAGTACTGGCATCGCTTTTTTTTTCTAACAGCAATCATTCCTAGATTCCTATGCCAGCTCCACTCTGTTAATATTTGCTGTTGAGTACTACGTGCTATCGCTGTGGACCTATGGATTATCAGTTCCGAGTGGTATTTTCATTCCAACGTTACTCACCGGTGCTGCATGGGGTCGATTGGTGGGTACAATCGTTGAATATATGTTTCCAGATGTGGTGAGCATTTTTTTCCCTCACATTTCCACTCAGAGTATAAGATTTTCGAAGTATTTGATTCAAATAGAATTTACCAGGGAATTCACGGGATCCATGGGGTAATGCTGTAGAGGTGTTCAGAGGAGGACATGTAATTCAAAGTTAAGACCAGCCTGTATTCAGTTTTTACAACAGGCGGAAACACTCAGAAAAAAACCGACTGATAGGGCA